AGCAGGAGATGCTACCTGAATGATTTCCTCACTGAACTTTGCTGGCAAGGGGTCTCGAATATTCGAATGCTAAAATTGAAAACCGATGACCTACCCAACAAACGAATATTCAGGTCCAGACCAACTATTATGCAATAATTAAAAGTTGTGCACTAAAAAAAAACCAACTGATACCACTGCTGCAGAAGAGGACACAAAGAGATGACTTAATGGAAAAAAAGAGCAACATTCAAACCTCAAACAATGCAACACCATGTAGAGGAGGAAGTCGAAACATGTAATGTAGGTTTGTCTCGTGTGTTAACTGGAGGAAGGTGTGGTCTGATTGAGTGACAAATAAGTCAGAAGCTTCATGTACTGCCAGGTCTGTTTCAGTGGCACATTTTGGTTTTATCAGTACACTAATTTTCTACCTCAGAGAGGGAGCCCAAAGGTCAAAGCCAGGTGAAATGTCTCCTCATCCTTTCTGTTTCCGTTCACACTATCTCAGCGCCTCCAGCTGTTTGGGCTGGGAGGGGCTCGTTGCCAAGGCAGCCCACACCTTACGAGCTGTCTTGTCTAGTCCCGTCTTGTCAAAGCTGAGACAGGGAGGGTAGGAAATGAAGGAGACAGGGATAGAAGTAGGGGTGGGGGGGTTGCTCAGGTAAAGTAAACTCTTAAAGGTCTAGATCCAGGGAGCAAGCTCAGACTATCAGTGAGCTGCTAACCAGCATGATCTGCAAGATCTAACCCCGGACTGAACGCCATTTTCCAGTTGGACACCTGCAGACTGATTTTAAATCCCGTCGATAGCAAAGTATCAAAAAGACAGCTAAGACCCCTCTTGGAAACGCATGTCGAGACATCCAAAAGACCTTCTTCTCCTTGAGCACTGCTGTGTAACATGGTGACAGTGCTGTGCTACAGCGGTGTAAGCACAGAGGGTGACACCTGGTGTGATTTCAGTAAATTATGGTGCAGGTGAACTCATTCAGTTCCAGACCAGTCATGCTGTTGATGTATGGCAGGAGGAGACCAAAGGCAGGCCTGTCTGGGAATCAAATGGTTTACATGCAGTGCAGAACTGGCCCAAGATTCTCCGTCCGTGTCTGTTCTGTGTCCTGCTGCCAAGCCGCCGGCATATCAAAGAGACTTTTAAAGGTACTTTCAAAAACTCTTACAATAAAATATAAAAGTTTAATGTTTCATTTTGGGAGTAAAATGCCTTTTTTCATGCCTCTACAAGCTGTTTCATGGGTGGAGTGGGCGAAAGTCAAGGGATATATTTATCTTGCTGTTCTTCCTAGGAATGTGCCTCTCACTTGTCAAGCAAATGTAGTGAGTGAGCAGCAGACTGGGCCTTGTGGGTCAACGTTGTCATGACATTGCCCCCTGCTGTTTAAAGCTTGTTACATGCAGAACTATTGAGCAACAGCCATAAAACTGTGTAGCATGAGAAATACACAGCACAGTACACTTGATCTTGTTTATTGTCTGGAAACATCACAACTGAGTCACCTTCTCTCTAGACTTACCAAAGTACTAAAATAAACAGAAATATTAAGAGTTGTGACATCTGGGGATATCATCGCTTTACTGTGCACTATGACTAGTGTAGTCTAAAAAAAAAAAGTACTCATGCATCATGATGTTTAAATTTGGGTTCTGCATTTTGCTTAGCTAAATAGAAGGAGAGCGTATCCTAAGCAGATGATTTCATGTGTTCTCGTCTTACAGCTCTGAATCAAAGCAGATTTAATGTGGCTTATCGGCTTGGCAAGACCCTTTAACAGCAGGCTGGAAGATCTCTACAAAGGGAACGAAATTTATGACAAATATCAGGTACTTTGAAGCAGAATATTGGTGCACTGCTGGTGCGCTAGTTTTAGGCACTGAAATCTGAGTCTAAAGTTTGACCTTGTGAAGTGAAGAACTCAGAAAATTATCACCCGATGCTACAGTTCTCATCATGTATATGGAGTTTTATGAGTGCCTGTTGGTTTTTGGACGTTTTACAAACGCAGCAGGCAAAGTTTTCAGCTGTTTTCTCTAAAACCCATGTAGGTCCTAAATCACAATGCTAGTCTTTTAGTTGCTAAGATAACAACTTTGTTGTATTGGAAATTTTTTAAGTCAAGTTGTTTTATGATCAGTGACTGCATTTGCAGTACGTGCACACTAGTATTATGATCAGGTTTCCAGGTTATCTTTTGCAGATGTAAAGATCTTTTCTCTGTTCTGAGCCTTTGAGAAATCTAGAAACGTTAGCTGGGGTACTCCGATAGAAACTAGGATACTGTGGCCTGTAAATCCTTTCTGAGACGGTGAGAACACAAGACTCACCTACAGGCCGATCAATCCAAACCTGGGATACTGTTTAGATTATGTAAACAGTGATAACCAAGTTTTAATATGCACAGCATGATCTGGATATTTGGCTCCTCTTACACATACTAGGCCAGATACTGTAGAGTGGTGAACTATGCTGGTGGACACAGGCCTTACAATATGTTCACCAATACAAAAAATAACACACAATTATGTGGTACTGCACTGCCATTATGTCCCACAATCTGTGTTATGAACTGTGGATTATCAGTGTATTCTATAATGTTTTTTTTTTAGCTATGTATGTCCTGTGTAAAAACCCGTCTGGCACCAAATGGCAGACAGAGAGAGCTAGCAACTAGCTGGTCAACATAGTGGGTCTTGCCCTCAGAGATGGTGCAGGCCAAACTGAACCTAAAAGGAGAATACATGTTTAAAATTTTCAGGTGGACACAGATTCAACTTCAAATGATTTCCGCTGAATGTGTAAACAGCAAACTTTACTACCACACTGTTGTTGATCAAAACAGTTGTGGTGGGTAGACAAAGGCTGTCGGATCCTCTTAGCCGTTCTCTAGTCCTCCCCATCTTTAATGTCCGCTTTGCCGACAATCTGTGCCTGTCCTTCTCACTGCCTGTCCATCCATTACAGTCAACACAGGGCTAAAA